TTCGGGACGACAGCTTGATATCCAGGCTGGCGTCGACCCCATACGCCGCCGAGCTCTTGACCTTGTAACGCCGACATGAGCGAGCCGGGCGTGCCACATGCCCGACGTCGACAAGGCAATCGGTAGACTTTGTCGCCAAGGCAATTGGTTGACTTTGTCGTGCAGAGGTGAAGGTCAGTATAGAGGACCCGGTCAATGTAGCGTGCACAACACAGCACATCTCCCATAGCCGACACCAGTAACATCTCGTCATCATCGTTTTGCAACTCCACGCCACTGTCCTTCAGCTGGTCAGTCGACAGTAGATAGGCGTGCATGCATGGGACGCAAAGAACGTTGAGGACAAGGATATGCTTCCCGGACTCCACTTGTAGAGCAACGGTGCTGCGAACTTGGATGACCTGAGTTGCCCTATTGAAGCCGCCACGTGGCTGACGTCGCTGCCTGGATCCATGACGAGAGCAACCGCTGTCAACCATCGGATTCGGTTGCACGGCAGCAGTGACCGCCTTGAGGTCATTGCTGTCCTCCAGCGTCAGCGAGATTGTTGGCTCCACAATGCCGACCTTCGAGAACGAGGAGCTTTGTGGGCCGCTCAGTCTGATGCATGAAATCGTCGTTGATGATGTGACTCAATAGCAGGTCCTCGTTGAGCGTTTCGCGCACGCCAAGCAATGGCATCATCCGGCGCATAAGGTTGTAGCCCATGGGGAGGCCCCTAACGATATGGGCAACGTACGACGCCACCGAGTAGTCGACGCTAGCCATCCGTAGGTCGGCCGAAATCCTCCGAGCGTGGTTGTAAAACTCGGTCGTCGACTCTTGCTCGCCCATCAGTATGTTGGTTAGCCGCTGCTTGACCGATATACATGTCGTCAAAGGCCTTGTAGGTGTTCATGACGAAATGCCTCACTTGGTGGCCGGCGTCCACCCGAGGTCAGCACGACTTTAGGGCGACATGCACCATGGACGAGCAACACCGAGAGATGATTATGAAGGCCAGCAGATGAGCGGCAACGAATTCCGTCTGGAGCTCGACGTCGGCCTCATCCTGTGTCTCTACATCGCCGGCGACAAACGACTTCAGTCTGATGATCTACAACTGCTACTCAATAGACCTCGTCCACGTAATGAGGTCGTGCCGACCTTCGAGCTGCTGGGGCACGGCAATCTTGTCCAGGAAAAACTTGAAGTAGCCGTATGCCGATGTAATGCATCCATCTCACCTAGCTGACCGTGAGTCGCCAAAGTCGGCCGAACTCCACTTAGCTGGGGAGAGCAACATCAAGCACCGACGTCGCTGCGCGAGCTGCCTGTGGTCGCCGTCGACCATAGCGCTTGCGTCTGCATTCTACCGACGTCGATGTTGGGGGCCCAAATCACACCTCATGTCATCTTCGTGCCCTCGTTGCCGACTTGGTTGCCACCATCGCCTTCGTTGTGAACAGGTCGGGAAGAGGCGGATGAGCCGCTCGCTTCAGGTAGGGGAGGGTGCTCATGCGGCCACTACGCACGAGTGCCAAGAGCACCTCCAAGTGAGCCTCACCGAACTCGCCAGCATTGTGGCGTCGCCGATAATCAGCCTCCTGTACTACCAAGGTATCCTCTATTCATGCGGGTCTATAACGACTTGAGTAATGTGCAACTAAGATGACTAATCTCTAAAGGTATTTTGCAAGGTTGTCAGCACCATTCGTTGAAGTTGGCTTCGTCGTTGTCGGCTTTGTTGAAGTCGGCTCCTCCCAAGTCAGCTCCACTAATGTCGGCCAGCAAAGTCGACTTGCTCTGTCAGAACTAAATTGTAGGCTGTAGTGGGGAACTCCTTATAAGGTACAGTGCTGTTAGGTTTGCCTATACAAACCTTGTACATTTCTATTTCTAGTCATTCTTGTTTCCTACTTTGTGACATGGTATCAAGGCAATGTGCTTCGTTCGGTGCTCCAGTCTGTGCTCCTGACACAAGGCAATCATGCCCTTGTTGTCGACATACAGAACTGGAGGAGAACGAGGCGCCTCTCCTAAGTCGGTCAGCAGGTAGGTGAGCCAGCGTAACTCCTGTGCAGCCATGGCCCCAGCGTAGATCTCAGCCTTACAACTGGAGTTGAGAACAAAAGACGAACAGGTAGACCGCCACAAAACAGAGCCAGAACCAAGGTTGAAGGTGTAACCCTGTGACGACCGCTGCGTAACCAAGTCGCCAACCCAAGAAGCGTCTGCGTGACCAGTGAGGACAACTCGAGCCCGTCCTCCAAGCACGAGCCCCATGCCCGATGTACTGCATAGGTAGTGCAACACCCTCTTAGCTGCATCCATGTGCTCTAGTCGGTCTCTCCCAGGAGCAACATAGCGTGTCAGGATGCTAAGAGGGTATGCCAGGTCAGGTCGAGTGCAGGTCATTAGGTACATGAGGCAGCCCACAAGCTCTGGGTACGGGCCACTCGGCTCTACGGACTCATCCGAAGGCAGAGCTGAGAGTGAGTGGCGAGTAGACAGAGGAGTGGCCCGAGACGAAGTGTACGTGAAGTTGAAGCGCTGAAGGACCTGTTGCACCATGTGTGACTGAGTCAAGGTAATGGTGCGCCGTGCTCTGTCCCGAGTGATCTGCAAGCCAAGATAGCTGCGCAGCTCACCCAGGTCTGTGCACGTGTGTCTCTTCTGCAGCTCCGATTTCACGTGGGCCAGTCCAGCAGTGTCAGCAGTGGCAAAGACCAAGTCGTCAACGTACACGAGGATGTAGAACGGCGGCAAAGAGGTGTCGGTGCGCAGAAACAGCGACGGATCGGCTGTAGAAGGAGCAAACCCAAGAGCCGCAAGTGTAGTCCTCAGTGTGTCGGCCACTCACGGGGCGCCTGGCAGAAACCGTAGACTGGCCGCCAGAGGCTCCACTGGGTACCAGGAGGAAACGACCCAGTGAAGCCAGGTGGGCGGCGCAGCCAGATCTCCTCGTGCAGGCTGCCCTGTAGGAAGGCTGTGCTGAACTCAAGAGAGTGAAGCTCGTAGTCACGCTGAGCGGCGACGTGCAGCAGTACCCGAAGACTGGTCATCTTCGGGGTGCGAGAGAAGGTCTGAAAGTAGTCAACTCCCTGCCGCTGATTGAAGCCTCGAGCCACGTAACGCGCCTTGAAGACAGGCGGAGAACCCGGCGGCCGCTTCACCCTGAAAATCCACATGCCACTGACGAAGTTCGCCCCAAGAGGGGGAACCTCGTCGACGTAGGTGCCAGTGGACTTCCAGGAAGCCATCTCTGCGTCCAAGGCTGTCTGCCACTGAGAGGATTAGGGACCCTCTATCGCCTCTGTGTAAGAGCGCGGGGTCAGGATGTCTGGTGCATCCGAGTCTCCCTCAGGGGCAAGCAGCATGGCCACGAGATGAGGCGCAGCGACCGCAAGACACTCAAGGTCCTCGTGCCTGTCCTGAAGGACGTCCGTGCTAAGGGCACACTCACCCCCGACGGACGGAGGACAGACACACTCAGACTGAGCAACAAGATTAGCGGCGTAGTCTAGACGACATTGAGCAGCAAAGTTGACAAGCTGAGCAACTAAGGCAGAAGCAGCAGTGGACTCAAAGGAAGGGTCAGTGACAACAGTGACCAGGATTCACGTGACAGTAGGAATAGCAACCCGAAGGGAGTAAGACTCCGGGTCCGGAATGACAGGAAGGGAGGACTCTGGAGGAGACGGCAGAGGAACACGCTGTGGAGCAGTGGAAAGACGCAGTGCCATCTGGTGCGTGCCGGTGACAGGAGGAGGACGCTGACGCGAACCACGACGACCAGTACGAGCAGCGGGAACAGGCGATGCAGGGCGAGACGCAGGCTCACGACGCTCAGCAAGACCTTCGGTTGGACCAGTGTAAGGAGAAGGAGCAGGCAGTGGGGAGGCGGGCTGTAACTGTGACTGCGACTGAACATGCGGTGGACACTTTAAGGGAGGAGCAGGACCAGTAGAAGGCGGGAGACCAAGAACTTGCTGAAGAAGTGGAACGAAGTACGGCCGCGGCCGTGCAGCATCACTAGAACAAGCAGAGACAGCACCAGCACCCCCAGCGTCAGCCCCAACTCTTGCAGCACCACCAGCTCCCGCAGCACCTCCAACAGCTCCAGCAGCGCCAACTCCAGCATCTCTAGCAGTCCCAGCTCCAGCAAGACCACCAGAAGTCCCAGCCGCTCCAGTAGCGCCAGCTCCAGCAGCTCCAGCAGCACCGGCCCCAGCAGCACCGCCAGCTCCAGTACCTCCAACAGCTCTAGCTCCAGCAGCACCACCAGGCCCAGCAGCTCCAGTTCCTCCGGTACAAGCATCTCTGGGACCAGTGGCTCTAGGACCCCCGGGAGCTCCAACAGCAACAGGACTTCCAGCTCTAGTAGCGCCATTAGCTCTAGTTGCACGACTCCAGCGCCAAGCAAATCACTCGCGCAAATGCTGTGGAGAGAGTGGCTCCCGCCGGGACGAGGCACCCGAAGTACCTCTAGGTTGTGCACCCCCAGGCTCCACACGCGTAGGCTCAGCACCCGCAGGCTCCGCACCCTCAGACTCAGCAACCCCAGGCTCAGCACCCCCAGGCTCAGCACCTCCAGGCCCAGCACCCCCAGGCTCAGCACCCCCAGACTCAGCACCCCCTTGCTCTGCACCCCCAGCAGCACCAGAGTCAACAGCTACCTCGTCAGGCTCGACTGCGTCTACCTGGGACACACCTGAGGGGGCAGGACCCTGAAGGGGAAGGGGGTCTACCGGAGGAGGACCTGGCGCGAGTAAGAGTGGCGAGGGGGGGAGGGGGGCAGTGCGGTAGGGGAAGAGACGGTAGTAAGGAACCAACTCGTCAAACGTGACGTCCTGAGAGGACAGAACACGGCGCGAGGTGGGGTGGTAAAACTGCCTACCAGGCGCGTCAGGGGGGAAGCCAAGGAAGACGCAGGGAACAAAACGGGAGTTTAGCTTGTCCGCAGACAAATAAGTGCCGACCAGAAAGCCAAGCGGGTTGCACACCTTGCATGCTTGACAATGAAGTCAACTTCGTCCAAGAAAGGGTAGGGCCTTCTCTTGTCAACAGTTGTACCAAAAACGTGTTTCATCGCTTAATGGCCTTCATATTACATTGTTGAGACTACATTATTTCTAAGTCAAAGAAGAAGAAAGAAGAAGAAGAAGAAGAAGAAGAAGAAGAAGAAGAAGAAGAAGAAGAAGAAGAAGAAGAAGAAGAAGAAGAAGAAGAAGAAGAAGAAGAAGAAGAAGAAGAAGAAGAAGAAGAAGAAGAAGAAGAAGAAGAAGAAGAAGAAGAAGAAGGAGAAGAAGAAGAAGAAGAAGAAGAAGAAGAAGAAGAAGAAGAAGAAGAAGAAGAAGAAGAAGAAGAAGAAGAAGAAGAAGAAGAAGAAGAAGAAGAAGAAGAAGAAGAAGAAGAAGAAGAAGAAGAAGAAGAAGAAGAAGAAGAAGAAAACCATAAGTAGAACAAAAAATCTTCAAATTGTTACGTAAAAGTTTTCCTCTTTTTGTAAGATTGTGTTGAGAACAATTTTTATAATAGTTTTTAGTACAGGTATGTCATCATTGTAGTGTTGTGCTAGAAATTACTGTAAATAATCGTAATAGTAATAACCTCCAAGCACTGCGCCGCTTGGCTCGTAACGATGCCACCCGGGCTCGTTTCACATCCCTTTAGGGCTCGGAGGCTGGTGCATGGGCTTCGTCGGTCGTGGCTCACATTCACTGCGGCTGAGTGGGGCATTGCTGCTGCTATACCAATTGAGCAGCTGCAGGTGGCGGGGAGGTGTGTTTGTGGCACAGCATATGTTGACCCAGCGAACCCGCACCATGCCCTGAGATGCAACAGATGCAAGCACCAGCACGGTCCATCTCGCGTGCATGATGAGGTGAAGTTTACGGTGGCGAGGATCTCTAAGGTGTTAGGGGGGATGGTGACAATGGAGGATAGTGTGGTGCTGCTGGGGAAGCGGGTTGATGTAGCAGTGCGACGACCCTTGGCCGGAAAAGCTCACGCTCTAGAGATCAGCGTCACGGACACGCTATCGGTGTCACCGTCTCTGCTAGGGCAGTGCAGGCGTTCCATAGGCGTTCCATAGGCCTTCCATAGGCAAGGGAGTGGGAGCGTCGCAAAACGAGTGATTATGTCAGAATGTTATCTTATGTTCTAGCCTGTAGTGGGGTGCTCTATAGCGAGTACAACCCTTCTAGGGTTTGCTATTTGTATCCTCATTCCTGCTAGTTCAATCCTCTTCTTTTCTTCTAATTTTGTCATGCTATTAGAGCAGGTCGATCCCCTTGGATCGATCCTGTGGGTGGGTTACCACCTCCTCGCTTCCGCTGCAACTTTTCCTTCCTGCCGTGCGCCCCGAGGCGCGCGGCGGTTTTCTGCCCGCCGTGCGCCCCGAGGCGCGCGGCAGTTTTCTGCCCGCCGTGCGCCCTGAAGCGCGCGGCGGTTCTCTGCCCGCTGTGCGCCCCGAGGCGCGCGGCGGGATTCTGCCCCGTCGTTCGCCGCGTCGCCCTCTGGAGGCGCCGCGACGGGCGACGGGGACCCGTCGCGGCCCCGCAGCCCCACTTCGCGGCCCCGCCGCCTCACGTCGCGGCCCCGCCGCCTTACGTTCACGGCCCCACCGCCTCACGTCGCGGCCCCGCCGCCTTACATTCGCGGCCCCGCCGCCCCACTTCGCGGCCCCGCCGCCCTTCTGTCGCGGCCTCGCCGCCCCACCTTCGCGGCCCCGCCGCCCTACACCTGTGGCCCCGCCGCCCTCCTTGCGCCCAGGCCCCATTTCCCGTCGCCTGTCGAGGCGACCCTCGGGGGCCGCTTGGGGGAGGGGGGCGAGCGCCGCCATCCCACCCTGCCTACCCGCCATCCCACCCTGTCTGTGTTAGGGTTTGGGGGTGGCAAGCAGGGGGTGGCGACTATGGGGGTGGCACTTCCTCATTCCTCCCTTTGCTCCTCCTCCTCCTTCGTCTCCCACTGCTGCAGCTGTCGCTGAGGGGGGTGGATGTGTGGGAGACTGGGGTTTAGGGTTTAAGGGGGGTGCGTGGGAGTGGAGCTAGGGGTGTAGCAGCGGGTGTGTGTCGGGGGAGTGGGACTGTTTGGGGAAGTTGCACGGAGGTTGCCGTCGTGTCGCCAGCAGCACCTGTAGTCCGGGGACTTCGTCCGGTAGCCCAGTCGTAGCCAGCTGTGCCAGCCGCCCGTGGGTCCGTTGCTCGTCTGCCGCTACTTTAGCCGCGGGGCCTGTTACTCCTGTATTCCGGGGGCTTCGTCCGGTAGCCGCTGTGCCAGTCTGCCTCCTGTTGCCCGTGTGTCTGCAGCTTCATCCGTCGCCTCCTTTCTCCTCTCCTCTCACTCTCTCTCCTCCTCCTCACTTGCCCGTTGTGACTACCACTAGCTTTGCTTATAATTGTGAACTCTAAACTATTGCTTCTTGAACTTGTGCTCAGAATGTGTGGTGATATTGTGATCCACCCTGAGCTTGTACTGCTTTGCTTGCTCTGCTGATTACACCCCACTTTGGCTATGGGGGTGTGTCAGAATGTTATCTTATGTTCTAGCCTGTAGTGGGGTGCTCTATAGCGAGTACAACCCTTCTAGGGTTTGCTATTTGTATCCTCATTCTTGCTAGTTCAATCCTCTTATTTTCTTCTAATTTTGTCAGATTACGCGCCTCTGCTTGCACGCAACCGGGGCGTGCAATTCACCCATTTGATAGTAAAGACATGGGGGTGTTCCGGCGGTCGTTTCCGGCGGTGGCTTCGACAGCAGGGGGACGCACACTTGAGGCTGGCTGTGTCATGGGGGGCTTGTCGGGAGGACGACACTTCGTTTTCGGCTTATCTTTTGGGGTCTCTGAATACGCTCATCGGGGTAACGTTACAACGGGCGCAAGCCCGAGTCATCCTGCTTCGTGCAGCATCTTCCATGGGGGGGATGGATATAAATTTGGTGGGCAGGGAGAGGGACGACGCCTGTCAAAATAATATATAATTCTATATATGGTTTTGTAACTGCCTGTAGTGTAGAATACTGTAGTTATATAATTTTCTGTTTGGTGGTGCACCTTTCTTCATTCTTGCCTATTTGTACTGCTCGCTCTATAGTGAAACCCTCTCTTTTTGTTGCAATCTTCCTACTCCCTCTTGACACTCTCGTCAACCTCCTTCCTATCACCTAAGGCTTCCATGCCTCCTAAGTTCTAGAACTTTTCACATGGTATCAGAGCAACCAAGGTCCTGACCTGTGGGCCCACCCTAAAGCTTCCGCTGCTACTCTGTGTTCGGCACGCCCCGTGGCGTGCCCCTTCTCCTTTTTCTTAGCGGCCCCGTTGCCGCCCTTTCAGGCCCCTCGCGGCCCCTTCGCGACCCTCCCGCCACCCTTCGCTGCGGCACCGTCGCCCTTCGTTGCGGCCCCACCACCCTTCGCTGCGGCCCCGCCGCCCTTCGCTGCGGCCCTGCCGCCCGTCACTGCGGCCCCGTCGCCGCCCTCATCTGCGGCCCCGCTGCCCTCACCTGCGGCCCTTTCGCCGCCCTCACATGCGGCCCCGTCGCCGCCCTCACCTGCGGCCCCGCTGCCGCCCTCAGCTGCGGCCCCGTCGCCGCCCTCATCTGCGGCCCCGCCGCTCTTCACTGCGGCCCCGCCGCCCTTAGCTGCGGCCTCGCCACCCTTCGCTGCGGCCCCGCCGCCCCTCGCTGCGGCCCCGCCGCCCTTCGCTGTGGCCTCGCCGCCCTTCGCTGCGGCCCCGCCGCCCTTCGCTGCGGCCCCGTCGCCCACCACGGCCCCGATGCCACCTGCGGTCCCGTCGCCCACTACGGCCCCGATGCCACCTGCGGCCCCGCCCACTTGCGGCCCCGACCTCGCCCCGGCCATGCCCTGTCGCCAACCTCGGCACACCGGGGGCACGTGGACCCCCCCCCCCCCCCCCCCCCCTTTTCCCGTCACCTGTCGAGGCGACCTGAGGGGCGACCTGGAAGGCGTGGGCAGGCGTCGCCCCCTCTGCCGCCTTCTTTGGCGCCCGGGGAGGCCGTGCGTCGCCCCCCCCCCCCCCCCTCCCCTCTCCTCCTCCTTTTGTTCCCTCTACTGCAGCTGCCGCTGGGGGGGAGGGTGTGAGGGTGTGGGGGAGCCCGGGGAGGGACTGGGGGTGGCGGGTGTGGGGGTGATGGGTGATGTGTGGTCTCCCCTTCCCATCCTCCTCCGTTTGCCCCCCCTCTGCTGCTCCTGCAGCAGTGTGGAGGGGGAGGGTGAGGGGATGTAAGGGGTGACCAACCAGAGCCTACCACCTCCTCTCCTCTCTCTCTCTCTCTCCTCCTCCTTGCCTGCCCTCTCCCGTTCTGCTGCGCACTCTGCCTCGTGTACCCCTTCAGGGGGCGATAACTACACTTCTTCCCTACAGGCACTTATGGGGGCGTGTCAGAATAATATATAATTCAATATATTGTTTTATAACTGCCTGTAGTGTAGAATACTGTAGTTATATAACTTTTTGTTTGGTGGTGCACCTTTCTTCATTCTTGCCTATTTGTACTGCTCGCTCTATAGTGAACCCCTCTCTTTTTGTTGCAATCTTCCTACTCCCTCTCGACACTCTCGTCAACCTCCTTCCTATCACCTAAGGCTTCCATGCCTCCTAAGTTCTAGAACTTTTCACAACGCCGAGGTGGAGGGCGGGACGCTCTGGGTGGATGCCTCGTACAAGGTGGATGCTCACATGTGAATGAGGGGGGGTGAAATGGGGTGCGGAAGGGGGGGTCTCGATGGGGCGTCTTGACTGGGTTTTTTTATTGGGTGTCTTGATGGGGTAATCTATGTGTGTTGCTTTTAAGGACAAAAAAATGAAATGTTTTTGTATCTATGATGTTCTGCAACGTAACTAGTTTATCCCTAGTTGATAAAGTTATACAATTTTGACCTATTCAATCTGAGATGAGAAATTCTCTTGTTAGCGCACAGCCGGATTCCATTTCAACATGTCTGTATTCTTCAGTTTGCCAAGAATCGATTCTTGACTTTCTGCATGCACCCGTTGTCGCGACTCTCAGGACACATTTTGAGTGTCATTTTTGTTAGGAAAGTCCCGAAAGCCGCCGTGGGGATATCCTAGCCATCGTATAAAATGAGAGTTACACAATTTGCAGATGAATGGACCAGATGGGAGAAGTTGGGGTGGTTCTAACTAAGTGAGGTGAGGGTTGGGGTAGTGGGGTTTTGGAAAGTAAGGAAGAGGGGCTGGCCAAATATGCCAGCCCTTGTAAATGAACCCGAAGCACTTCAATCTAACCCCACTACCCCAACCCTCGCCAATTTAAAACCCCGTCAGTTTTGGCTTTAAGCTCATTTGGACCTTTTTTGGCTTTGGGGATCAGACACCCAAGGAACTAGAGGCTATCAGTGGCATTGTACAGTGTCGATGTTGTGGAAGCGTAACTTTGAGACCGCAACGTCAAGACAAGATCTTCCACTGCAACTATGTTTTTATTTTCCCGCTGACTTTTAA